GGCTGACGGCCTCAGAGTCGCTGGCTCTCCCTGTCCCCCTCAGACCCTCCCCCAGCTGGCCTACAGGGACCCCTCAGTACAGTCCCGGCACATTAATCACAGACAGTGTTTGCCTCTCAGCACGCTGTTCATTACACAGTGCCAGCAGGGTCATCCAGGCTGTAAACCTTTACGAATGCAGGCAGATGCCTTTATTCTGAAAGATGGCTACAGGGTGCGCGAACCACTGATTTTTCAGTTAGCAGTCCAGCCCGTAATCCACAGGGCTCCTGACGGAATAGTTACCACTCCTTCTGCCCAGGAGAATCCCCCAGCCCTCCCCCATTCGGAGAGTCCATTCCAATGCCGGCAAACCCTCCCTAGGTCCAGCATGTCTCGTAACAGCAAGATGAAACACACTGACCCTGCCAGCCAAATTCGCCCGCTCCTCAGCTTGGACCCTTGGTGTCTGGAACTGGGGTCACAGGCAGACCCAGCCCATTTCTCCCCAACATCACTCAGGGACCGGTCGGTCCCATCTCTGGCTTTGGCATCCCACGTGAGATGCCATCCGGTGCGCAGGAGAGGGACAGAGGGCACGGCAAGTACTGCCCTCTGTTGCCCCAGGCACCGCGCAGGCCGCTGCACCTCAGTAACCCCGGCCCGAGGCTGTACAGGAGTACGTTTCCCACACCTGTTCTGTGGGGTGCTTGTACCAGGCAGGTCCCTTCCTGCCACCACGTGCTTCTAACGTGCTGCCGTAAAGGTGTCTCACTTGGGATGACTGAAGGTACTTCCAGCACATAGGAGTCGTCCACTGCCCAGACACACCCACTGCCTCTGAGGGGCCTAGGCCCCACTGCAGTTTCCGGCTGCCTGTTCAGAAGTAGATCACCAGGCCTTTCTTCTGAGGCACCTCGAGGTGGATTAGAACCTCCAGTGTTTCAGTAGCAGTTGAGTGTTTACCTTTGTACCCCCAAGGGGCTTTACTTTTCCTTTCTCCAGCCCCCGTCCTCTAGAAGCAAAGCTGCGCAGACCCCTGTCTGTGATGCGCCTTCCTCTCCTGAGTCATCAGCACTGGGACAGGTTCTGGTCCCGGCCTCACGCCAGTCTGCTCCGGTGCCCTTCCCTCTTTCCCACACACCCTGCTTCTCCCACAGGCCCCTGCACCTCAGCTTGTTCGCTGCCTGCAGCCGAAGGACCATGGGCACCGGGAGGCCATCCTGCTCAGGTCCCCTGGCTCGGCCCCTACTGGGAGCCTGTGCCTTCGCCCTCTTGGCCACAGCTGCCCTGGTGGGGCATGTCCTACTGCATGACTGTGCCGTGGTTCCCCGGGAGCTGGCCGGGTTCATGCGAGGACCAGAGGAAGCTGACCCAGCTCGAAGCCCAGGATCCAGGCCAGCGCCGCAGCGCCTCAGCATGCCTGGGCTAGCGCCGACGCAGTGTGAAGTGCCCCCCAACAGCCGCTTTGACTGCGCCCCTGAGACGGCCATCACACGGGAACAGTGTGAGGCCCGAGGCTGCTGCTACAGCCCTGCAAGCCTAAGCCCCCGCGGGCCCCGGATGGGGCGGCCCTGGTGCTTCTTCCCCCCCAGCTACCCCAGCTACCGGCTGGAGAACCTCACGGCCACCGAGACGGGCTACACGGCCACACTGACCCGTGCCACGCCCACCTTCTTCCCCAAGGACATCCTGACTCTGAGGCTGGAGGTGCTGATGGAGACCCCGAGCCGCCTCCACTTCACGGTGGGTGGAGACCGGGAGTGGGGGTCAGGGCCAGGTGGTGACCTGTGTTGAGGGTGGAGACCAGAAAGATGTACAGCCTCAGTACCCCAGAAAGCAGTCCTCCTCTGTCCTCGAGGTCCCGGAGTTGGGGTCCACTCGATGGCCGTGGGCCGATTCTGTTTGTGGCTTTGGTGCAGTGTGGCCCACCGATGTGGGTGTGAGGGGCCATGGACACAACTCCTGCCCCGAGCCGCCCTCTGGGATAACACAGGGAAGGGCAGCCCTGTCCCGCACCACCTCACAGGGGCTGAGTTGGTTGTAGTTGTACCACAGAGGGGAGTATCGTCGTGTCCTGCCCTGTCCTCCTCCTCTTATGTGTCAGCCACCCACGGTGTCCAGCCGTCTCATCAAGAGCCTGCCTCTTGTGCTTGCCCCTCTACGGAGCATGATGTCCTTGCCCAGGGACCGTTCCCCCCAGGCAACACGTCCAAAGCACATGAGGCCAAGTCTCGTCACCTTTGCTTCTGAGGAGCCATCTCTCTGTATTTCATCCCAAGTAGATTGTTGGTGTTGTTTACCCGCAGTTAGGATTCTTCCCCAGCACCCTCATCCCAGAGTCTTCTGCTTTCAGTGTCTAGCTGTCACAGCATATGAGGTGACTGGAAGTTCCAGGGCCTGGGGCAGGCGCACCATAGTTCTTGCTTTTCAGCCCTTGAAAGAGGTCTGTGTGGCGGGTGTCCCCGATGCAGGGCACCCTTTGATCCCCTGGCTGCTGCTGCCAGTCGCAGGGATGGGGGCTCCCGAGAGACAAGATCTCGACAACTCCCCTTTTTCCCCTCGTGGTCCCGGTCTTGTCGCCGGTCCAGGGGAGGCCTCATCTTCCTCACGGGCAGCCCTCACAGCCACCGCAGAGACCCACTGGAAACTGACCGGTGTTTTTCTGGAGTCCTCCGCTAGGCCTGCAGACCGGGAGGCCGGGCCTAGATCATGGGCCAGTAGGAGCGGCCAGCAGGGCTGACTGGTCCCAGCCTTCAGCACCATGCATTCCTGAAGCGAGGGAACCGTGGGAGGGGCGAGGCCGCCAGCCTGCTCCTCAGAGCCCCTCAACTATCGGTCTACCTCCTTTTTCAGATCAGAGACCCCGCCCACAGGCGTTACGAGGTCCCCCTGGAGACCCCGAAAGTGCGCACCCGCGCCCCGGACCCGCTCTACAGCGTGGAGTTCTCCCACGAGCCCTTCGGCCTGATCGTGCGCCGGAAGCTGGGCGGCCGTGTGCTGTACGTGGGGTCACCCCACCCAGCCCTAGCCTGCATGGGACTGGTCTGGTTGGGGGTTCCCCAGCTCATCCTGCTGGGGCCCCTCCCTCTGCCTGGGATGGCCCTAGCTGACCCCTCCCAGGAATGCTTGTCCATGCATGCCCCCTGCCATCCGCCCAGTGGGTGGAGTTGTGCTCTCTGGGAAAGCCCTCCTCCAGCGGCCCCCCACCCCCTGCCCCCGTCCTGGAGCCCGGTTCCTCCGCAGGCTGAACACCACCGTGGCACCCTTGTTCTTCGCCGACCAGTTCCTGCAGCTGTCCACCTCCCTGCCCTCACCATACGTGGCCGGTCTGGCCGAGCACCTCAGCCCCCTGATGCTAAACCCCAACTGGACCAGGGTCACCCTGTGGAATCGTGACATGGCCCCCACGGTAGAGGCCAGTGGCCGCCAGGGCCACAGTATGACTGTGGGCTTCGGTGTGGTGTCAGCTAGCTGTGAAGAGTGGGGGGGGGAAGGGGTGCCCTGTGTTCCTCCAGAGAAACCTCCTTGATGCGTGGGCCCCTGCGAGTGGGGGGCAGGTGGGAGCCGAGTGGTCTCCGGGGAGCACAGTAGCTGACCCCAGCCCTGCTCGGGGGTCTTAAACAGCACAAAAGCCCACTGGTGGGTGGTGGGTGGCAGGCGGGCCAGGGTTGGGGGTGGAGATTGGAGGACCAGTGTCCAGAAAGCCGAACAGGAGCCTTGCCCCAGGCCTGGCTCACAGGGGCTGGGAGAGGACAGTGCCTCATACCTGGGTGCTGAGGTGACAGTCTTCAGGGCCATAGTTCAGCACACAGGGTCATAGTGGCCGGTGGTGGGGTGGGGGTGGAGGGGCTGATGGCCCCGTCTCCCACCTTAGCCGGATGCCAACCTCTATGGCTCCCACCCCTTCTACCTGGTGCTGGAGGATGGGGGCTCGGCCCACGGGGTGTTTCTGCTGAACAGCAATGCCATGGGTGAGTGAGGGTGCCCCCCCAGGCCAGAGCCCCCCCAGGGACAGTACCCTCCCTGGGGAAGGAGTGGGGGCTGTGTGCTTCCAGCCGAGAGGCAGGACATGGTGGGGACAGTGGGAAGGCTCTGCCCTCTGATGCCCCCGGTTGGGCTCTGTGCCCCCTGCCCAGGGGAAGAGGATGGGCAGAGGCCAGAACTGGACTTCAGGGGGGTGGGGGATTTGGAGCCCCAGCCCTGGGGCGCTCGGAGTCTGTGGCCTGGCCGCCATGGTGCCCGCCCGGAGCTCTGGTGGGGTTGTTGCTGGTCCCCAGCTCAGCTGCTGCCCCGCAGATGTGGTCCTGCAGCCGAGCCCGGCCCTCAGCTGGAGGACGACCGGAGGGATCCTGGACGTGTACGTGTTCCTGGGGCCGGAGCCCAAGAGCGTGGTACAGCAGTACCTGGCAGTTGTGGGTAAGCCCCTGTGTGCACCCTGCCCACACCCACTCACACCTGGTGTCCCCAGGGCACCCCTTTCATGCCACGCACACCTGGTGTCCACAGGGCACCCCTTCATGCCGCCCTACTGGGGCCTGGGCTTCCACCTCTGCCGCTGGGGCTACTCCTCCACCGCCATCACCCGCCAGGTGGCGCAGAACATGACGGCCGCTCGCTTCCCCCTGGTAAGTCTGCAGGGCTGTCACCCGGTTCCTCCCCACCCCGGGAAGTGACCTTGGCCCTGGCTCAAGGTGAGTCCTGGCGTGTAGTGACAACCTCTTCTCCTGGGCGAGTCCCGTTGGGGACCGAGGGGCCAGATGCTGCCCCTCCAGCCCAGCAGCCAGTCCCTGTGGTCACTCACGCAGGACGTGCAGTGGAATGATGTGGACTACATGGACGGCAGGAGGGACTTCACCTTCAACCAGGACAGCTTCGCAGACCTCCCGGCCCTGGTGCAGGAGCTGCACCAGGGCGGCCGGCGCTACATCATGATTGTCGTGAGTGCCCCCACCCCCTGCGTGACCCTCCCCCAGGGAGCCTTCTCTCTCATTTTCAGGCTGACTGCTCCCATAAAGGCTGATAGTCGTGGGTCTCCTCTAGAGACTCGCCGGCAGTGGGCGTCAGGCGTCTGGGGAATCCAGTCAGCTTAGCCAGCTGGCCCTCTCCTCTTCCTCTTGCTGGGCAGAGGTGGGCCGTGGACATGTGGGTGTACTGTGTTGCTATGCAGGTCCAGATGAGCGTGTGACAAGTGTGAGTGGGATGTGCTCTGTGTGTGTGCTATGCAGGTACAGATGAGCATGTGACGAGTGTGAGTGTGGACGTGCTGTGTGTGTGTGTGCGTGTGTGTACTATGCAGGTACATATGAGCATGTGATATAGGTGTGAGTGGGTGTGCTCTGTGTGCGTGTGTGTATGCTATGCAGGTACAGATGAGTGTGTGACATAGGTGTGAGTGTGGATGTGCTGTGTGTGAGTTTGTGTGTGTGTGTGCTATGCAGGTAAGGTGAGCATGTGACAGGTGTGTGCGTGTGCGTGCGCTATGGAGGTACAGATGAGCGTGTGACAGTGTGAGTGTGTGTGTGCTATGCAGGTACAGGTGAGCATGTGACAGTGTGAGTGTGTGTGTGCTATGCAGGTACAGGTGAGCGTGTGATGTTCTCTGTGTGGACGTGTGTGGGTGTGCTATGCAGGTGCAGGTAGGTGTGAGTGTGGCCGTGCTCTATGTGTGCATGTGTGTGTGTTATGCAGGTACAGGTGAGCATGCGGCATAGGTGTGAGTGCTATGCAGGTACAGGTGAGCTTGTGATATAGGTGTGAATGTGGGCGTGTTCTCTGTGTGGACGTGTGTGTGCAATGCAGGTATAGACGAGCATGTGACAGGTAGGTGTGAGCTCTGATGTGTGTGCCCAGGTGAGCGTGTGGGCAGGCTGTGCTGTGCTTGGCCGCCCTGCTCCTCTGCCTCAGTCTCCCTGGGTGAGGTCCACCGCCGTCGGCCTGACTGCTCTCTCATACCCTCAGGATCCGGCCATCAGCAGCTCGGGGGCCGCTGGGAGCTACAGACCATATGACGAGGGCCTGAGGAGGGGGGTCTTCATCACCAATGACACCGGACAGCCGCTGATTGGGAAGGTGAGGGGCCTGGGTGCCACTGGCCAGTGGGGGAGGGGTGAGTCGGACCTGGGGGTGGGGCACTGATCAGGAACACCCCCTCTGGTCCCCGGGCCTTCGGCTCAGTGGCAGTCGGGCCTAGCCCAGAGGAGACCCTGCAGATCCTGGCCAGGCCTCCAGGGCCCTTTGTCTCCCTGGGCCTGGGCACCTTCCGCAAGTTCCCCAGCCTTTGCATCAGGAACGGGGTGCAACAATCCCAGATCGCCTGGGTGGGGGTCCCAGCTGAGGGAGGGGCTGGAGGACGCCCACAGTGCTGATGTGAGGCCCAGTTCTGGTCTGCCACCCTTCCTGCCCCAGGCACCCAGGGTTTCTCTCCAAGCCCCCTCTCCTGACAAGGTCTGGCTTCCCTGGCTCAGCCCGTGTCCTCAGGGACGGGCTGGGTGGACCCTGAGCTCACAGGCCTGCCTCCTCGCCTCGTCCAGGTGTGGCCCGGGGCCTGCGCCTTCCCTGACTTCACCAGCCCCGAGACGCAGCGCTGGTGGGAGGACATGGTGGTGGAGTTCCACAGCCAGGTGCCCTTTGATGGCATGTGGATCGTGAGTACTGGCCCCACCCCGCCTGCGCCCCCCCTCCCCCACCCCCCTCCCTGGCACAGCTGCCACCCTGGGGTCTCTCCTGCAGGACATGAACGAGCCGTCCAACTTCGTCAAAGGCTCAGAGGTCGGCTGCCCGGACAACGAGCTGGAGAACCCGCCGTATGTGCCAGGTGAGCATCGGGAGGGTCAGGAGCGGGCCCCAGATAGCCCTAGGGCCAGCCTGGAGGAGCCACCCTCCTGGCCCAGATCAGGGGTGCCCCCCCTCTTGTTGGCCTGGTTTCTGGAGAGCTGGTGGCAGTCGCCTCGGGGAGAGAGGGAAGGGAGAGGCTGTCCCCCACTGAGGGCGGGGTTTCAGGGCCCAGAGGACCAGTGATGGGTGCTGGGCCCTTGCGGGCACCCCGACACTGAGGCGAGAGCCAGGTGTGGCGTGGGGTGGACATGGCAGGGGCTGCTCCACAGAAACCACCCCCTCTTCCAGGTGTGGTGGGGGGGACCCTGCGGGCGGCCACCATCTGTGCCTCCAGCCACCAGCACCTGTCCTCCCACTACAACCTCCACAACCTATATGGGCTGACCGAGGCCAAAGCCTCCTACAGGTGAGGGGACCCTGCTCCAGGCCCAGTGCTCCCAGGGCCGGCTGGCTGTCCCGCTGTCCCTGTGCCCTCCCCTGGGGAAACTGTGGGCAGTTGGGGCTGGGGCAGTCTTGGAGAGTGGTGGGGTGAGGTGGGGAACAGCTTGGGAACAGCCCACTGGGCCGTAGATTTGCCAGGAGTCCTCAGCCTCCCCCGGGCACACACACCACTGTCACAGCAGGCAGTGGGCTGGCTGGCTGAGCCGCTCAGCTATGCCCCTGCCTTGCCCAGGGCCCTGGTGATGGCTCGGGGGACTCGTCCCTTCACCATCTCCCGCTCCACCTTTGCTGGACACGGCAAGTATGGCGGTCACTGGACAGGGGACGTGGGGAGCAGCTGGGAGCAGCTGGCCTTCTCGGTACCAGGTGAGGATCGGGGAGCACCTGGGGTGCTGCTGCAACACTGTGGGGGCTGGTGGGCTTGGGTCCCTGCACTCACCTGTGCAGGGTGAGTCTGACACCTGGCTTCCTGGGTGCCCACATCCTCATCTCCTGTGGCCCATGCCCACAAAACCTAGGCACGCACCCCATCTCAAGGCCCCTTCCTTCAGGTGGCAGTGCACACCTGAGCTGCTGGACAGGAGGCGTGTGCAGTGGGGTCTGGGGTTCAGGGGCCCACAGGCAGGGCTGTCTCAGCAGCGGTCTCGGCTCAGCCCTGCAGGGCTCTGCCTCTTCCTGTCCGGTACTTGGCTGGTGGTCATCAGCGAGCTCTCCCAGCCCCGTCTGTGGTGACCCAGGGAAGTCCCCATGGTCCCATGGGCCCTGGCCCACCCTGGCTCACACTCAGGCTCCTGGTAACCCAGGGTGGTGTGGCCCGAGCCCAGCCCAGCGTCCCCATGCGTCTCACTGGGGACGGGTGGTGGGGACCCATCAGCAGCTCAGGAGAGCCATGGGCGTGGCGGGGGGCCCTCTGGGTGGTGGCCCTGCCCCAGCAGCCTGGCCATCGCCTCTGCCCCCAGAAACCCTGCTCTTCAACCTGCTGGGCGTGCCGCTGGTGGGCGCGGACGTGTGTGGCTTCCTGGGCCACACCTCGGAGGAGCTGTGCGTGCGCTGGACCCAGCTGGGCGCCTTCTACCCCTTCATGCGGAACCACAACGACCTGCACAGCCTGGTGCCGCCCCGCCTCCTGGGCAGCTAAGTGTGAGTGGGATGTGCTCTGTGTGTGTGCTATGCAGGTACAGATGAGCATGTGACGAGTGTGAGTGTGGACGTGCTTGGTAGGTGTGTGCGTGTGCGTGCGCTATGGAGGTACAGATGAGCGTGTGACAGTGTGAGTGTGTGTGTGCTATGCAGGTACAGGTGAGCATGTGACAGTGTGAGTGTGTGTGTGCTATGCAGGTACAGGTGAGC